ATTTCAAGACGGAATCATGTCACATCCCGTTCCGTTCCAATTTTTTCACTCCATTTCCGTTGTTTTAGAGTAATTATTTGTACAAGATCATTTATTATTTTATTCAAACGAACATTAAAAAACAAATGATACGAAATAAGTTACCAAATTTATCCGTTTGTTTTTTTTTTGTTAACTGCAATAATTATCTTAAAATTCGAAAAAAAATAATAATCAAATTTCTGAAATTACTTGAATTATTGGTCAGAAAGTTGATTTTCAAATAAACCATTGACCAATATATGCCTGATTTCAAATGAAGTTCCAACCGGATTTCAGCTCTAAACCGGAAGAAGGTACGAATTCCGGTTTAGATATTTGGCATTATGCGGTAAGCCGTTAACGAAACAAAAAGCTGCCACGTGGGTAAAGAAGAGTCCCCGAATCTTCCTCTGACGAAACCATTAGATTCCATTTTTCATTTTCTTCAAACTCTCTTTTGAGTCTTTTGTTTTGCTTTTTCTTTCTTTCACAAATCTCTCAAAACCATTCGTTTTGCAATCGCAGATCCATTTCTGTGTCGCTCTTTCTCCATTTCATCACAATGAATGGCTTCTCTGATCTTAATCCTCCTGAAAGGTACGACTTTTCTGATCGTCTTTTTTTCAATCAGTGTTCTCTTTTATGTTATGCATGATCTACGATTATGTGTTAGTTTTGTTTACAACACTGCGATTTCATACAAGTGTTTTGGGTCTCCAAGATCAACGGAACTCGATTTTTCGTCTGAATTTTCTAAACTTATAAACAAAAACACTGAAACTTATTGATGGGTATAAGATGGTGCTTATGATTTCTGCAAATTTATCGATTATCGTATTCAAAGTTTGATCCTTTTTGATTTCTGTCTTCTTATTGTCTCATTTGTTGTGAAGCAGCAAACCTTCTCTTTCACATCTTGCTCCTTTAGAAGCCATTCTGTTTGATGTTGATGGAACGTTATGTGATTCAGATCCAATCCACCTTATTGCCTTTCAGGAGCTGCTTCAAGAGGTTGAAAACCCTTTCTTTATTATCTTCATATCTTCAATTTTGCAGGACTACTTTTAAAAACTGTGACTTTATATGCTTTGGAACATTCATGTAACTGCTTGTGTCAATTTTTGGCTTCTTGTATCATTTACAGATTGGTTTTAACAATGGTGTTCCAATCGATGAGAAATTCTTTATTGAGAATATTGCTGGAAAACACAATTCTGAGATTGCTCTAGCTCTGTTCCCTGATGATGTTTCAAGAGGGTTAAAATTCTGTGAGGAAAAAGAAGCACTTTATCGCAAGTAAGTCGACAAAATGTTATGTGTGTTCTCTTTGAGGTTTGAGTTGATTTAAAGTTAACTTTGTTTTTTCTCTTATTGATTAGACTTGTTGCAGAAAAGATTAAGCCACTTGACGGGCTTCTAAGATTGACCAAATGGATCGAGGATCGTGGGTTGAAACGAGCTGCTGTAACAAACGCACCGAAAGAAAACGCGGAGCTCATGATATCGAAACTTGGTCTGACTGATTTCTTTCAGGCAGTGATTCTTGGTTCTGAATGTGAACATCCCAAACCACACCCGGGGCCTTACTTGAAAGCTCTTGAAGCGCTTAACGTGTCAAAGGAACACACGCTAGTGTTTGAGGATTCGATCTCTGGGATAAAAGCTGGAGTTGCAGCTGGAATGCCAGTGATTGGACTAACTACAGGTAATCCAGCAAGCCTGCTTATGCAAGCAAAACCCGCTTTTCTCATCGAGAACTACGCTGATCCAAAACTGTGGGCTGTGTTGGAAGAACTCGATAACAAGGAGTGAATAAGGAACTTAGTCGTTGCCTCACTTGTCTGGCTCTCCATGAGCCTTAAACACGCATGAGCAGCCTCTCTCTATCTTAGTTGAATATTCTTTGGGAATTTATGACAATGTGAGCTTTTCAAGTATATGATTTAGC